TATATATATATATATATATATATTTGTTTACACAAAACAACGAAAATAAATTTCATTCGTTTATCATCATTGGGCTGTTCAAATAGTGTTTCTAAAATCAAAAGTAAAAAGATGTGAGAAGAGAAATACCTGCACACATATAGAAAATGCGAGCAGTAGAACGAAAAATATTCTCTGAATACTTCTGAATGCTGAATCGTTATACGGCCATAGACCGATTGCGGTTAATAGGATTCGATTGAGTCTGTAGTAGCGCTCGCCAGCGAAGTCCATCTTTTCACGAAGGTTGAAGCACGACTGCGCCGGAAGATATCGTGGAAGCCCAGAATTCTATTCCCCATCATATTTTATTAAAGACTCTTGCTTATGGAGCTTGAATTTTTCGCACTTTCTTTGGGCTATTATGTGAAATGTTGTGAAAATAACAGATAATAGTAAATAGTAATAAAAAATTTATCTATACCGGACTCAAAGAAAGGGCCGGTAATAAGCCGATCGATACAATATACTTCCCGATGAGACTTTCGTAATTGTCGAGAATACCAATGATAAAATAAATATCTCTCTGCAAAGTGTGCAAGTATTATGATAATATTGAAAGGGAAGAATTTTTTTTCTGCAGAAATCGACGCAGGCACTTTCATCATTTTGCATTAACGATCGGTTCCTCAGTCTGTTCGAGATGTTACTTTAATTCTGTTGAACAGTTGAATGTGAGTCATCTTCTACATAACGAACGCAGATAATGCTCCATTTGACCAAAGTCGAATAGAAAGGAGATTGAGCACCAAAAGCAATGAGAAAGAAAGAAAGATCAGCACGAGATGGAGCACGATTTAAATGGAATTTTTTAAAGTGAAAGTGACATATCGTTCTTGTGCATTAGTTCATGTATGTTATTTTTAGCTCACTAGTTTCTATTTCTATACAAACTCTTAAACAATTAAAGTTTTAATTTGTTGTTATTATTACGTATTTATATGCGTATCTTTTTTCTATGTGCATATAAATTTTTTCTTTTCAAAAAAACAAAGATAAAAAAAGGAGAAGAACAATATTCTCTGAGTTGTTCATATAAATCTTTTACTTCGAGAATAAAAGAAAAAAGAAGGAAAAACAGCAAATTTAAAACTTTTCTTTAATCTTCTTTTCTTTGTACACAAATAAGTAAATTGTTTTCATTAAACTTGTTTATTATCTATTAGGGAGAAATATGACATAATTAATAAATTATAGCATTTGCTAAGTTCGCAAGATAAGGAATGTTAAGGAATTTGAAATTGGCAATCAAGATACATATTTCTTTAATCAAATTTTGCTTTTAATTAAATTTTTCATTAAAAAATATGTTGTTTAAATTAATATAATTTCATTATCAGTTTATCGAGTTTAAAACAGTGAAAATAGAGAACAATAAACTCATGGTCTAAAACAGAAGATTTAACTGTATAAACAATTAATCGATATGGTAGTTATTTCCATTAATGATGTGATTTCTTACCCCGACCAAACCTTCCAAACAAGGACTAAACATACCACCAGCGTCGACTCTGTAACTTTTTGTGGTTTTTTGTAGCAAAAAAAGTATTAATTTTTGCGCTTTTAATGGAGCATTATACCATTCCGTATTGCATCTGCATGATAACAAAAAGTGTTAATTAGTTTCTAAATGTCTTTGTAAACAAGAATTATACACGTGTTTTAAAATTATAGAATTTAGAATATATACAATACAATATGTGTTTGCTTTGAGAAAAGCACATTAATAATTGTACTTCTTACATCGTTTGATGGACATAACTGTCGCAGTTTATAAATTCCTGTCCAGCGAAATTGCCTAGAATTAGGAACAAAAAATGGCAGAATATTAAAAAGATAGATATTATAATATCCATCGTTTTTTGTTCCATCGTTATTATTCGAGATAGCTGTAAGTAAAATTGATGGTTTCACCAATTGCAGATGATTTTCCAAAATTAGTGACAAGAACAGAGTGAGTGACTATATACAACTGGCGTGTCACTCACATGAAAAATATTAATGCTTCCCGAACATGTAATAATCATAATTATGAGCAGGTACGAACGTCCAAAATTTGTTTTTAATAACTCTGACAATCTAATAGAATAAATGATGCTACGTTATCATTCAATACATGATACATTAAGAATAATATTTTAGATATTAATTTTATTTTATCTTAAAGAGTAATTTGTTTAGAATACATATATGCAAAATTATATTCAAATAAAAAATCGAAGAAAGTTGCAATAATTATCCTGCATTCTTGCTAATATATATTATTCGTGTGAAAGATATTATGAAATTAATAGCATACTAACTCAAGTGCTCTTCTATGAGCATCCACCGCAGCAATTATTCTGTGATGGAGAATAGTATATTTTTTCGCTATACATATTCGCAGAGTATTTTCGCTTAGCATATGTTTTATACGGAAACTATAAAATTCTGCATGTTACGAAAGAGATAATATATGTATATATGTATATAATTAAATTTATAACACTATTGTGTATAGTTATTAGATTTATCTTCATAAATATGTTAACTATATATTATCTTTCTATAAACATCTTTAAATAATAAATAGAAATCAAATACAAGAAATATTTAATAAATGCTACAAATAAAATATATACTCTTTATAAATTATACATATAATGCTTTATAAATTAATATTAATCAAATTACAAATTTGCTTCTATGTGCCTAAAAAGACCCCCTTAAGGGGATCCAAAAGTGACGGCCGAACTCCGATGGGTTAGCGCCCTCATCCAAGCGTAACTAAAATTATCGATAATAC